TAGTCCTAGCTACTCAGCTGAGGCAGGAGGATCTCTTGAACCCAAGAGTCTGGGGTTGCTGTGAGCTAGGCTGACGCCACGGCACTCTAGCCAGGGCAACAGAGTAAGTTTCTGTCTCCAACTAAATAAGTTCATTAAATAAAGGCACTTGAGAAACAGCAGGTGCAAGAAGATCTCTCTGTTTCTTAAAGAAGAGATGAAATTCCCAAGTGAAAGATGTCCTCCCTATACCAGAAGGAAAGCAACATTCTTACCATCAAGGACAGGAAGTTGAGGCCAAGAGAGATCTACAAAGAAACCTTGTTAGACTAATCCAATTAACCCCTGTACCCCAAACCCCTGAGCCTTGTCCCATTTTCACATTTGCTACTTTGTCTCATTCAGTATATAAGTGTTCAACTGTGTCTCTGGGTCTTCATTTCTTTATGAAAACTCACATGCCACATAAAATCCGTATTCAATGAATCCAATACGCGTTTCCCCTATTGCTCTTACATCCATTTAATTCTCAAGCCCAGCGGAAAAACCTTACAAGAGTGGACGTGGCTAGATGCAGTGGCTCACACCTGTAATCCCAGGACTCTGGGAGGTCAAGGCGGGGGAATTGCTTGAGCTCAGGAGTTCAAGACCAGCCTGAGCAAGAGGGAGATCACCCACCCCCCATCTCTACTAAAAATAGAAAAATAGCTGCGTGTGCCCCCGGGGTACCAACAGTCCCAGCTATTCAAGAGGGTGAGGCAACAGGATTAGTCAAACCCAAGAGTTTGAGGTTGCTGTGAGCTATGATGCCACCGTACTCTACCCAGGTGACAGAGTGAGACTCTATCTCAAAAAGAATAATAATAATAAAAAGAATAGAGGTAAAATTTTGCCTCCCCTGCCGTGATAGTGGCACTTTCAACAGTTAACAGTAGTAAGTGAATTTAATGCTGATTTTTTCCAACCAAAGAAAGTGGTGCACAAGTGGTGGGCAATAAGCTTAACTCAAAGGACAAAAAAGCCAAGAAACAAGCATTCGGGTTATTTTTTTTTAAATCATTTTTCACTACACATAGCTTTCTGCCACATCTCCTCTCAGAAAAGGTGAGTTGGAAAATCTCATGCAAAGACGCATAGGAAACAAGAAAAGGGGGAGGTGAAATGTATCTAGCAGGCCGAGGAAGGTGGTTTTGTCAGCGTCCTTTCTGCAAATGATCCGTCAGCAGGGTTCATTCCGGATGATTTTAATATCGTGACCATCTTCCCTGCAAATTGAACAGCCAAACACAATCACGACCTACCATA